TGTCTTCGGCTAGTCTCAGTACGACCAGTAAGGCTTCATACTCGGCTTGGTTGTTGGAAGCCTTCAACCGAAAGCGGAGGGATTGTTCCAAAACTATCCCTTTGGGTCCCTCCAGAATTACACCTGCTCCGCTTCCTCGGCAATTTGACGAACCATCCACATGGAGGGTCCACCATTGCTCCTCGAAATGACCGTAGGGGTGGAGCTCGTTCACAAAATCGACCAGGCACTGAGCTTTGATCGGTCCTCTCGGTTTGAAGGTTATGTCGAATTGCGAGAGCATATATATATATATATATATATATATAGTGTGTGTGTGTGTGATTTTTTTACTTTTCAAAAGAAAAAAATAAGTCTTTTTTTTAATAGGAGAGCAAGTATAAATTTGAGTCATACAATCATGCATATTTACATGTATGATCAAATTAAAAGTTTTTTTTAGGTCATACTCGTGATTATTTAAAAAATCATATAATCTTTTCTTAAAAAAAAAACTACATGACTTGGGTGCTTTAATTTTTAGATATTTATAATATAATTTAATAGTTAATGCTTATTAATCATACCCTTCTTGAAAAAAGTTTAAAAAAAATCACCGAGTATACATACATGTGAGTCGCACCAAGGACATTAATTTAGAAAAATGTATATGATACTAAAAGTCAAGACTATAATAACTAATTAACCTATTGGGTGCCACACACAGCTATTTCTTCCAGAAATCCAAACTAAAAGCTATTTGAAGATCGGAAAACATTTGTAAACAAAATAAAAATTAGAATGAGAAAAAAGATATTTTAATCACTAAAAATCTTTAAATTTCCATTAAGTCAATTGTTGCGGACCAAATATTCATCAAGTGATGAATTCTTCCTATCGGCGATTCCGTATAAAATATAGGATTAGACATAATTAGTAATTAACTTTCTTTTTTATATAAATTACATGTACATTTTTCTTTCAAGTATCAAACACAACTGCACACCCATAATTTAAAGATTATTTGTTGAGATAAAACAACTTCATATTAATTAATTCGCATGCTCAATGATTCATAATTGATAATTACAATTAGTGTTTCTTAAGCTACAGTTATATTATCTCTTTATAAGTTGTTAAAATGTTAACATTACTAAGAATGGACCAAAATGATTCTCCATCATTAGAAGACATGTGAATTAATTAATTTGTTGATAAATCTGATATTATAATTGGATGAATGAAGACGCCGTTGAGTGGTCCTATTGTTAGTTGGTTTATTAGGAAAGAAAGGACAATAAACATGAATCATTGTGAATTCATGTACATAATCAACGCGCGTATTACCTTGATTAAGCTTCACCTCTAACTTTATTTATTCAAAATAGTTGGTTTAGAAGGAAAGAAAGGCGAATATGATGTTTACAAGTGTATGTTAAAAACCATGTTCTTGGTGTCAACCTCAATCAACACTTGCAACTTAGGCTAATATGATGTTTGGGGCAAAGTGGGTCATTATATGGATTGGGCCAATGCGCCTAGCTCTATACGCTTAAGGCTCAAGTATCTTTCTTTAAAAAAAATTTAGTCAAGTATCTAGTTATATATTTATAATTTATGATATTTGAACCTAGGGATGGGAATGGGGGCCCATAGGAGCGGGTAATAGTAAACTCGTTCCCGTCTCGCTGGATGAAAATTAGCCTCATACCCACCACATATCTGTGTCACTATCTATTAAGTGGGTATCCATGAATTTCTTGAATACCCACGGATATTTATGGATATTCATAAATTTTTTAAGCAATTAAAAAAATTATATTACAAATAATTTTAAGTTTATATTTAATGTTATTGAAATATTAAAAATAAAAATTCAATGTTAATTTTTAAATTCTATTTAACGTTAATTTTGTTGAAATAATAAAAATACAAGATAATCAATAACTTAAAATAAATCAATCTCACACAAGTAAGTGAAAGTCTCATATCACAAAGCTACAATAATTCAATCTAATAATTTCAAACGAAAGTAAACAACTTAAAATACATAAATCTTATTGGCCCAATCAAAGCTAGAAAATTAATCAAATTATATCCAACATAATTCTATGGAAAGAAAATAAGATGAGAGAGTGTAGTTTTAGGGTTATGTGGTACAAGGATAATTAAGATATTTAAGAAATATTATTAAACGGGTACCCGCGAGTATTGATATCATAATGGGTAAAAGATTATCTGTCTCCATTATCTACAGGTAGTCAATTAGCCTATATATTTATGGGTTAATCACCTATACACTGTCAGTGTAAAGTTTTTTTACACTGGCAACTAATCATATCTTTTAATAGTGACATGTTCAGTTGCTTATTTAATAAAAATAATAAAATAAGCAACTTTAAAATATATGATTGGTTGTCAGTGTAAAAAATTTTATACTAGCAGTATAGGGATGATTAACTCTATATTTATTACCCGTAACAAATTTTACCCGCAAATACTCATAAGTGCGGATATTTTTATCATCCATGTGTGAACCAACCTTCCGCAATTGTTTAAATCATACTTTCAAATATTTTTTGCACTTAATTAATGTCGTCACATGATTGTTCCTATTGATTGCTCATTAGATTCCTCCGCATTTATTGTTCTTTTATTACTTATGTAATACTCTCTGGATCCATATATACTAAGTAAAAAAATGAAATTAAAATTTGAAATAAGAATACTAGAACGTAAGTGAAAAGCAAGTAAATTACATTGAAGGCAAATATCTCGAAAATAAAATGGAAAGTAAATAACACTGCAAGAATGCGAATGCATAAATTAAAGAAAGCAGAACAAAATATGCAATTGGAACAAAACAACCAAGAACTTGCTTGATGCCTATTCAATCCTTTGATGAATGGCGAATGTGTAGGAATTTCTTCAAGTTTGGATGATCAAGTTTTAATTCCTTTTGAAACAACTTCAAAGCGTGACAATTTCAAACATATTTTTAAAATGCACAAACTATTTGTTTAAAAAATCAATTCAATCACAACTTGATGACATATTAAGTCAAATAAAAAACTTTAACCTGGTAGACTACCGTTTAATGATCCATATAATTGTTTGTGCATGAAAAGTGCTATATTTTAACTAACCACTACCAGTAACCCAGTCTAATTCACTTTCTTCTTAACTTTTGAAACCAATGCCCTCCTTCGGTTCTTCCTAAACCAGAATGTCTTCTTATTCCTTCAGTAACAAACGTTGAAGGAGAATAAATGTCGCTGAATCAATATTTTCAAGAGTCCGTTGGATGTTCTTCATATTAGATTTATTATACGTTAACGATGTATTGAAAATATAAAATTACCATCATTAGTTGCCATATCCACATGTTGCCTATTTGACAAATACATTGTTGTTGATATTACGGCCGTACAATATAATTCCAAATGCTCAAACACCTAAAACAAAAAAGCATTACCTAGGTTCATATTGTGGAAATGCTTAAGCAAAAAAATGTACTCTACATAAGGCGGTTACAACGGTTTCACAAAGATGGATTATAGCATAAAAACTCTATAATACAGAAAATTTAATTATTCACGGCAATGAAGCATAACCTAAGACATCATCCAGGACATACAGTTATGCCATCAGCCATATCCATCTTTCTTAGGCTGTAACAGTTTTTGTTTTGACACCAATTTTTTTCCAAGACACACTAGGCATAATTTGTTTTGTGTCAACACGATCTTTGTACTGAATAGCAAAGTTGAGCAGTGAATCAAGGAGAGAATCTGAAAGAAAGTGTGGTCTCAATCCCAAATCAACTAGTTTAGTGTTCTTGCAATTGTAGTAATGTTCTTCTGCCTCAACTCTCGGGTTAGGCACATGTATAGTTTTCACATCAAGGCCAAGCTTCTCACCAGCTTTTGTAACAAGGCTGGCAAGTTGATTGACTGAAAACTGCTCAGTGAATTGGTTGAAGACTCTAAATTCCCCCGGCTTTGCAGGGTTTGCGATGGCAAGCTCAACACATTGAACTGTATCTCTTATGTCCAGGAAGCCCCTAGTCTGAAATATGTGCATTATAAAATACTAAGTTATCATAAGAACAACATATAAAATAAAAATTAAAAAAAATAAAATAAAATTGTCTCATAAACACAGATCAATTCCACTAATTAAGGAGAACTAAAAGAAAGAAGAGCAAAAACAGAATCAATCCGTGCAGTTGGAATCTCAATGGCACAAGGCAATGAGTAAATTCAATATTTAAAACTGTATAATAATAGCCGCGGCTAATCACAGTTATTATCAATAACTATTAGATATCTAGAGTTGCAACAGATACAACATGAAGTTACCAAGAAACCAAAAATCGGGACTTGTTTAACATAGTTACTGTTAAGTTTCAAAGAAATATGTGGAGACGCCTCAGAGAAGCTTCACCAATGCTCTTTGATTCTTCTCCAGTGGATTAATTGACAATACACATATCTAAACACATCCTGATTGAAATATTGCAAAACTTGTGTCCTTTAACAATCATCAAAAGTCAATCATTTGCTTATCAATAAGAAATAGACAAAAGGATGGGTATGTTACCTGGCCTCCTTTACCATATACAGTAAGTGGATGACCAACAGCAGCCTGAACACAGAACCGATTCAATGCAGTTCCAAATATTCCATCATAATCAAACCTGTTATACAGCTCTTCATGCAATGCTGTCTCATCTGTTCTTACCCCATATACCACTCCTTGATTCAGATCAGTAGCTCGAATCCCCCAAGCTTTGCAAGTAAAAGCTATGTTATGTGAATCATGTACCTTGCTTAGATGATAGAATGAGCTAGCTTGCTTGGGATATGGCAACGTGTCTGTCCTTCCGTTGTGAGTAATGGTAATATAACCTTCCTCAATATCAATATTTGGGGTCCCGTATTCGCCCATGGTCCCAAGCTTAACTAGATGACACTGCTCTCTGTACTCTTTTATGGCAAAGAGCACATTCAGTGTCCCAATAACATTGTTTTGCTGGGTATACACAGCTCTTGACCGATCTATCATAGAGTATGGAGCAGATCGCTGTTCCCCAAAGTGGACAACAGCATCGGGTTCAAATGACTTGAAGGTTTCAGATAAGAACTCAAAATCACATATGTCACCGATGTAGAGCTCAATATTTTTTCCAGTGAGAGATTTCCAACATTGAAGGCGATTCTGGATTGAGGTAATTGGTGTTAGAGAATCCAGTCCAAGCTGGTGATCAAATAGGCGCCGAACAAGGCTGTCAACGATGGCAACCTCATAACCCTTGTTAGAAAGGTGAAGGGCAGTTGCCCAACCACAGTATCCATCTCCACCAATGACCATGACTCGCTGTGCTTTAGAAGGGTCACCAGAGCTAGTTTGAACAGGTGTTTTCTGGCTAGTTGAAATGGAAGCAGCATGTGCTACTACAGAACCTTTCCTTCGCTTCTGTTCTTGCAAGAAAAGCCTTCTAAGTGTAGGTTTGGAAATATTGGTAGCAACCGTGATGGAAAATGGCATTGAACATTGATTAAAAGATTTTAAGTAAGGTTTATTTCTAGAGCAGATAGTCAAGGAGCAAGAAGATGATAGTAATTGAGCCATCTCAATCAGACGATCCTCTAACTACTTTGAGCACACTCCTGAAACAAGAATTAATATCCCATCACTTGCACTTTGCTTTGAATAATATTAAAATACTTACTTCATCAAGCAAGTTATAATGATTCAAGGACTCTTGGTTTCCAACATAGTAAATAAAAAACAAGTAACCAATAGTAAAGACTAGAAATATCATGAGCATGCATCAACACAAAATAAATGTCACAAACAAAAATCAACACAAGGACCAGACCAACATAGAGAAATGGTTGATAAGCTCAGATATAAATTACTTTAGTTGAGAAAGAGAGAGGAATACCAACTGGCTAGGGTATTAAATCACTATGAAGAGCTCAAATCACCCATATTTAATAATCTCAAAACATTGAACACTATAATCCTGACCAGTGACCACTTCAATTTATCAATCTTTCACTTCCTAAAGTTCTTGAAAGGGTTAGGTTTACTATAACCTTTCAGACAAAGGGGATAAAAATGATTGCTCTTGTTTAAAATCCACTCATTTGCACTGCACTTTAATTTAGAATAAAGTAGAGAGTTCCTGAAGCAAGTAAATATAATTCATGGAGTCAATAACCCAATTTCCAAACTCCAAGCAGCAAAGATTCTATTTTTCAAAAGCATGGATCAACAGAATACGAAACAGGGTTTATTAGAATGAACAAAAAAGGACTAGACCCACTTAGAGAAACGAACATTAACTAATAAAAAAGCAGAAAATAACCCAACATAGCAACCCAAGGCAAGTAAAATGGGAATTGCGAAAGATGGTAAATGATTACCCTGAGAAAACTCAGAAACGGAGAAGTTAGTACAGAGTGAAGAGGAACTGTAAAGAGTCAAATGGACTGGTTCTGGATAAACCCCTGGAAATGCACTCTTTGCCTTTACGAATCAAAATGGAATATCCTTTTTTTTTTTTTTTTTTTTTTTTTTTTTTTTTTTTCTCGACTCTGGAGCAACTGGGTTTTTGCTTTTTTTCGCGGCCCAATTGCAAATCTTATTGTTACATATTTCAGCCCAGAGTAAACATGAAAATAAAAAATATATTATATATAATTGTTTGAAGTGAAATTAGGGTTAACGCAATTGATGTCATTATACACTCTTACGGTTACGTACCGTTTTCCTTCTCACCAATCGTCACATACGTGGCACAAATTTTCTTGATTGCCCTAGTAATAATGGATGCGAGAGAAATTACGCACAAAATATCCACGTCCACGCACAAGATTTAGACCTATATTTTTTTTTTGTCGAAACCTATATTATTTAAACATAAGTTGAAGAAATTTATAGTACAAAATTTATTCATTTATGTATAATTAATTTCGTTTATGATTAACATAATATTTAAGATTCTGTGAAAGTCATATTTAAAAAATATAAAATATAATTTTTTTCTCGTATAATAAATATCTCTAGTAAAATTGAAGAGGTTACTTGATTAATCAAGGTAGTGTGTTCTGTGTATTCACGAATCATGTTTGAAATTTAGACATACTAAAATGAGAGGAATGTCCAATTTTAAGGAAGTTGTTGTGGTACCCTCAAAGATCGAAGGATTTCAATACATTCTCCTATATAAAAACTCATAAAAGATTTTAAAAAAATTAATTTAATTATAAAATAAATAATCCAAATTATACTTATAAAATAAAAAGTAAGATAAAATTATAGAAATTAAAATTATAAGATTTCAATAATATTATAAAATATTTAAAAAAAAGAAAAAATTAATAAATAATAGAAATAAAAAATTATTAAAATTACAATATAGAAATTCAAAAATTTAAGACAAAAAGACAAAAAATATACTTAAAAAATTATTAAAATTAAACTATTTAAATATATAATCATATTATTACAAATAAAATTAGAATATATAATATAAAAATCAGTTAAGGGTATGATTATCTATTATTAATATATTTAAAAATTATTAAAATTAAACTATTTAAATATATAATAATATTATTACAAATAAATTAGAATATATAAAATAAAAATAAAATGATTAAATAATTTAAGATTTAAAAGAATAAAATATCATAAATATTATTTAAATAATTTATTAAAAATATAAAATATAAAAAACTGTACCGGTACCCATCTATTTTAATAGCTTGAGCAATTTCCTTTTTCATATGCTTGTTATTATCTCTCTTAAAGTAGAATCAATGCAAGGAGTAGGATTAGTCTGTTAGTGGTAATGCACTAGAACCATTTTCTTTATCTTTTTGCAACCGCCAAGGTGGGAGTTATGGGGTTATTGGTATTAAAATAACAAGATTTAAAAAAAAACAGTGTATGTGGCCTGGTTGTAGTAACTGATATATTGGACAATAATTTTCAATTGGACATTAGGACTCGGAGCCATGATCAGAGTCCATACTGCAAATAAAATAAATTCAGTGTCCTACTCAAGAAATTAGGTAGTCCCGACTTCTCACTTCATGTGTTAATTTTAGGATGTTTAAAAACAGAATAAGAAATATTTACTGTCAGAAGAGAATAGCATAAATATGCAATACGAATCAGGCCATTCTAATGTGTTCCATACCAAAGATACACAAAGGTCTTTCATACAAAACATCCACCTGAGAACCCCAAGAGTAATATGAATGAAAAATATACACTGTATTGAATATTTGTTTTTGCTGAATCATGAAACATTCTATACTCGTTAAGTTTCTTCCTAAGAGACTATCAAACTATACGAGCTCTGACACAAAGTTTTCACCAACAAAAAATTGCAGACATCCCAAAGGATTATGATCATACATATCTCCTTGTTAACCTGCACATTCAGATGAAACAGCAAATCAGATTTCTCGAGATAGTAGAACAAATACTACTTGAGACCATTACTTCTTAAAATACATAAATTTTCTTATTAATGATGCATATAGAATTCTTCCTCTTCTGTTGTTTCAATTAAAATTGATTATCTGACAAGAGTATAGAAGTGATATTCTTATTGGATTTGATTTCCCTTATCCAATACATTTCTAATTTTCAATTTTCACACGGTTTGACAAGCTTGCTGTTATTAACAATTGCACCTCACCTTACAAATTACAATACTTCAAAGTAAAAAATAAATTGAAGTTTCTACTTGAGGGTGATTTTCTACCTTTCATCTTGTTTTGCTTGAATTGATTTTGCATGCAAAGCTATCCAACTCTTTAGCCAGTTTCAATTTTTTATAGTTGGCATGACAGTTTCAAAAGCTTCTACTAGCAGCTCAACTTTTCTTTTCCTAGCCGGGGTTAATTTGGAAACAACCTGTCGAAGTGCATAATCAAGCATCCATTCTTCGGTGCCTTTTCTTTCTTCCATGTCTTGATGCCTTAAGTTAACTTTCTCGGCTTCTGAATCAGGCTCTACAGGCAGATATCTGGGGCCTCTTGGGTTGAACTTTCTTACTTTTTCCAATGACTTGATGAATCTCCTAAGCAGGATCACCTTTTTAAGATTGCTCCAGCTTCTTGGCAATTGCTGGTTTGGTTTTTTTTGCTCCTTTGGTGTTGATTCTTCTTCTTGTTCTTGGATTACTCCATTTCCAGATTCCATCGTTTCTTCTTTTTGGTTCAGGCCTTCACCATACACCCTTTCAATTCGGCTGGATTGTTTGAAGTTGTCTGAAATTGTGTTGCCTGTGAGTGACTTCTTGTCTGCTAAGTAATTCTGATCATCTGGAAGGATTGAATCAATTGCTTCTTCTACCATCTTGATGGCTTCACTCTTTTTTTGTTCAACTTCTGGATCAGCTACAAGATGGTCCTCGAATTGCATATCTTGATGAGTTGTGGGTGTACTTTCATTAGAGGTGGAAGTTCCCCTAGTTCTGTTGCCATCAATCCCTGACTCTTTCTCATCTGCCCCATCAATTTGTGAATTGGAATTGTTTTCAGCCATATTTGATACCATGTGCTTATACACCAAGTACCACAATCCTGTGTTGCTTTGTTTCTCTACAGAGGCCTCAGGTTCTACAACAGCACTCATAGGAGCTTTAGATTGTTCCTTTGTAGGGAACTCTTCAAGAGTCTCACTTTCTGGCTTAACATTTTCAATTCCTTCTTTTCTGTCGGTTGTTGGTTCATTTGCAGGTGCTTCTGAACCAATCAAATTAGATCTGAGTGATCTAACTAGACCTTCTAGGATTAAACTTTTGGACATGGAAAATTGTTCCCCATTTTCATCAATCAGATTCTTGGTTTCAACATCTCTTCCAGGTGGCTCGGATTTGATGAGTGGATTTTCTATGACTATTTCATTGGATAGCAAATCTTCTGAAACATCAGTGACTATTTCATTGGTTGGAGCCTCCTCATGACAGCTTATAATTTCATCTGGCTCATTTAAGGAACTTGATGTAGTATCTTTGATCTCTCCTAGATAAATATTGTCATTGGCGGTTGATATCTTCTCCCCATTACCATAACTGCCAACTATACTTTGCTTTCCATTCAAGTCTTCTTCGGAAGCTCCAAATGCAGGCATGTTCTTGACTTTGATTGTCTGCATCCCAGGATCATCAAGATATCTTTCTTTGATAGTAGCATCGTGCAGTTCTAACATTGGATCATCACCAGCATTATCTGCCAGTTCCATAGTACTATCATGAGAAAATGATGCCTCTTCCTTGCTATAGTTTGAGGAATAATCAAGAGGTTGAATTGGGTTTGCTAGAGATTTCATCATCGCAGAAAACCGTGGACCATTCTCAGCATCTTGAAATGGCAGAATTTTTTCAAAAGCTTCTACTAGAAGTGTCACTCTTTGTCTTTGAGCAGGTGCAAGTTTAGAAATAACCTTTTGAAGTGCATAGTCGAGCATCCATTCCTCAGCATTCTTTTTCTCTTCTGCTGTTTGGTGCTTGAGAGAAACTTTTTCCATTTCCAAGTTAGCATCAGAAGGAACACGTTTTGGTCTTTGAGGATTGATGTTTCTTACCTTATCTAATGCCTTTACAAACCTTCTCAAGAGGATCAACTTTTTCAAATTGCTCCAGCTTTTTGGTGTTTTTTGGTCTGGTTTGTTCTCCATGCTCTGTGCTTTTGGAGATTCTGTGGATGTTGAGGTATTCATTTCTCTCCGACCTTCACTCTCTTCTAAGGGTACCTCATCTGAATCATTGCCTTCAGATTTGACATGATCATCAGAAAAGAGGTCTTCAGGCTCTGGGAGAAGAATTTCATCAAATGCTTTCTGCACCAGCTCAATCGCATTCTTATTTGCATCATCCATATCCTGATCCGTATGGCAATCATCATGACAAGAAGAGTTATTCACTTCATTAATTGCAAGGGAATCTTGCTCTCTTCCTTCCTTCTTCCCATCAAAGGGAAGCTTATTTTCACATTCACCAGTGTTACTTAACACAGCATGCTTATACATCAACTGCCACATTTTTATATACTTTCGTTCTCTTTCCTGTATTCCACTAGTCATATCAGTAGTGCTAGCATGTGTAGCCTCTTTCTGCACAGAACTCATCTTCAATACTTCATAATCTGTCTCCATATTTTTGCCTGTGTTGCCAGTGTTGGTTACTCCTCCCTCCAATATCTCAAAACCAGAAGCAGAAAACTCGTCTACATCTGTTGATGTTGATTCTACGCCTTCAGTAACTGTGGATGCTGGAGTGCTATGAGGCCTAATACATGAGTCCCTGACCAGCTTTTTCTTGTTCTGAAAATGAGATCTGCCATCTCCACTGTGGACAGTTTGAGTCTTCTGAGAAGATTTCCTTGCATTACCAATTTGCTTTGATTTAGTAAAGGGCTGACGATCCATTTTCGTTGGCTTTTGGCTCTTCAACACACGCCTCCTAATCGACACAAATCGCTTCAAAGGAGGCTGATCGCCATGGCGGTGACCATGAAGAGAGCAATAAGAATATGGACAAACCTTCACAGATGACACTCCTTGAGAGTCACTTCCCTCTTGAGGGAGGTCAATGTGATCAGGAAAATGGGAATCCTTGAGAGCAGAAGAACAAGTGGCTCTAAGCAAGCTTCTGTCTGGGGATTCAGATATCTGATTGCCTCTCTCAATAGAAGAATTCCTTGATTTGAAAGTGGCCATCTTTGCTAAGATCCTCACAGGCTTCAAGCTTAACCTTCTGGTAATGACTCTCTGGGGTTTGTTACCAGCATCACTAGTAATTCTCCAATTCTGGTCTTCACTTCCATAACTAGATTCATGTAGCTTCCTTGATGATTTTTGGCCCTTGACAGTTGCAAGCTTGATTGATCTTGAGGACTTTAGCTTCCTCATTGGTTCAGTCCTTCGAGATAACTTCCTGGTCAGGCTCCTCTTCAGTTTCAAAGTGGACATTCTTGTGAAAGTCTTCTTTGTGAATAGTCTTTGTGCATTCTGCCCAAAAGTGGCATTGTGTAATTCTTATTCTTAATACTGTCCCAGCAATTGAAACTACTCAAATCACTATTACCAATTCCCAATTTTCAAAATTAGAAAACCTACCTCAAGACTATCCTTTGCATGAGAACTGCTGGTGGCCTTCATGTAATTGGGTGATGCATCAGCCAGTTCTAAACTTTCTGTGCCAATAGATGAGACAATGGAGAGATTATCATATTGGGGTCTCATTCTCACTCCTCTGGTCGATGATCTCTTGCTTGGCAATCTTACAAGCCTTATTGGCCTCAGTTTCTTCCTGGATTCCAATCTTCCTCTATGTGATTCAGCATAATCTCTGTGGTTGCCCTCAGTTTCATACTTCATTCTGCAGAATCTATACAATTCATGATGGAATCAAAATCATGGAGTGAAAATTTGTAAATACTAAATACTATCAAAGGAAACAAATCATGAAATTGAAAAAAGATAAAGAAGAAAAAATACTGCACCTGATTGAGTTACAATTATGGTTGAGAAAGGGTGTTTTTTTCCTTTTTTTTCTTCCCTTAGTTGATGTCCTTTGTAAATAGAGATTGCTTTTGTTTTGTGCAAAGGAAACTGCATGAGAGAGAATCCAGAGTGTGGAATTTTCAGACAGTTGTCTTAATTTTCTTGAGGTGCAAGTGTAAAAGACTAGATATTAATATGAATTAATATTAGAATAAGAGTGGTAAAAGAAGAAGGTATGGCTTTTGGCTTTGATCATAGAATTGAACGTGTCAAGAGATAAAATAATTGACTTGACTTGGCCTTGGTCAATTCAATTGCCTCGACCTGAAAACTACTCATTAGGATTTTTATTATTCTCCTACATGTTACACTGATACGTTGAAATTAATAGAATTCATAGAGTTGATGAATCAGGGGTGTTATCCTCTAAGACTTTCCTTAATACTCTTCCATAGTATATTAACTGTATATTTAATATTTAAAAATTTCTAAGAATAAATAAATAATATTTTTACTTTTTAATATAATATTAATTAAACTTTTCTTTTTAAGTTGTCTTTCTATAAAATATTTAATCATCACAATTTACAGTAATATATTTATCGAGATACTAAATTATTTTAATAAAATTATATAAAAAAAATTATATTTAATATTGCTTACTTTAATTTGTATAGAAACTTTAAATTACAATTATTGTTAGAAGGAAGGATTATTATTTTTCTGTATTTTCTCACGCCCTTATTATATGTTTGATGGGGTAGAATGTAGAAATTTTAATCTACAAATTCCAATTATTTGTCATTTTACATAGGTTGGAGAATAAATTTTCTATATAAGATAAAATGTTGTATATTAATATATTTTTCATTTTAGTATTTTCTAAAATTATTTGTCATTTTACATTATCAAAAAAATATTTATTATTTTTTTCTAATTTTATCATTCTCTTGATATACTTATGTTCAAAGCATTCTATCTTGGTTATTATAAAATTAGGTTATATTTTATTTGGATAAATTTTTTTCCTTTATTTTTTAATGTTTAAATTGATATATTGCATTATTTTTATATGGTTTAATGTGACTCTCTAGTTTAAAAAAATCTAATATTCTTTCATCTAAAATGATATCAACAATGTCAATGAAATTAGACAAAAAAAGTAATATTGAGCAATTTTTTTAAAAATTAGATTATCAAATTAAATATTTTTTAAATACTAAGATCAAATTGAACATTTAAAAAATAGAGTGATCAAATTGAATAATAATAACAAAATAGGTGAAGAAAATATTAGATAAGTAAAAAAAAAAATTAAATTTATCTATAAAAAATGTTAAATAAATTATTATTCAATTTGATCTCTATTTTTAAAATTTTTAATTTGGTCCTCTAATTTTTAAAGAAGTTCAATGTTATATTTCTGTCAATTCCATTAATGTTATTAATGTCAATTTTGAAAAAAATAAATAAAACAACAATGAACATTTTTCAAAAATTAAAAAATTAAATTGAACCATTTAAAAATTAATGGTATCAAATTAAATCTTAAAAATAAAAAAGAGAAATCTGAAATATAATTTTCTAACTAAGAAATGAAATATCAAATATATAATTTTAATAGAAATTACATTTGATATCATAATTTTAAGAATTAAGAGTTGTCTTAATGAGTGTAACTATTAATGAGTGTAACTATCAATGAGTGTAACTATCAAAGATGATAATTATTTTTGATAATTATTTACATAACTTACGAGTCGTAGAAACTATTAATCTTTTTGAATTTATACCAATAAACTCTTAAAATAATTAGATTTGTCTCTTCTAAATACGAGTAGTACAGTTTAGAAATAAAATTCATTTATAATTATTAATTAAGAAATCAACATATAAAAATTATACTAAAAAAATACGTACATAATAAAATATATATAATTGATTATAATTTCAATTTTTAATCAATGATTATTACTTTTCGTAAGTTAGAAGATCAAAATCTAAATAATCTTTATGAAATATGAACTGATTTATTTTCATGTGCATGAGTTGCCTCTTTTTAATTTTCAATATTTATGTTGTCTGTTATGCCACATCTATCTTTTATCTTTCATTGAACACAATTTTATTCTAATAAACAAAATATGTATAGATAATAAAGCTGTCCTTAAAAAATATTTAATGTAATTAAAGATTCAGAAATTAATGGTTAAACTGAAGTATTAGTGTATTAGTGTAACTAAAGTAAAAATCATAAGAGAAATATATAAAGCTAGTAATTAAGTAATGATTAGCATATAAAGAATTTAAATGTGGTGAGAATTGAGATGAATGAAAGTGTGGGACCACCCATTAACGCGTTCCAGCTGAGTTTTGAGAGTGTGGGACCACCCATCATTGATCATATATTTGCCTGTTTGGATGAGACTCAATTGCAACTTCCATCAAATCATATTCAAATCTAAGATGCGATACAACCTCTTATTATATCTCTTCCCACATTCTACCAACATATTATACTATACTCCAACTTCAACTTCAACTTCATATTACTAATTAAATAATTGCTTAAATTATTATTATTTGATAAGCAAGAATACAAAATTATGTAATTAAATATGTTTAATGATATATTATTTTTCACCAAGTAAGCTACCTTTTCTCTCTTTTTTTGTAATATACTTTTGTTTGAGGGACTGGTGTGCCTGCATTTTTATTTTTTCTTCACCGTGTGTGGGCTAAGCCCATTTTAATTGGCTAGCGTTTCATTTTAGCAATCAGGCCCATTTTCATTTTATTCTTCACCTTATGTTTTAATCTATAGAATAGGCTACTAAATTTATTTTAGATAGCCATGCATTAGATTGTAACGTAGCCGTAATTTATTTAGAAATTAATCATATTATAATTAATATTAAATGTAATAATAACTTGTGACTAAGTTTTTATTTAACCAATGTTAATGAAATCAAAAAATAATTAATAAAAATATATTAATAAGATGATATCCTTTTAAACTTAAATTTTTTTAGGATACAAGTTGTGATAATTGGAGTGCTAAAATTTTTTCTAAAATATTTCCATCTTAATATTAATTAAAATTAAGTTTCATTATTTAATATTAACGATATTAAAATTCCTTTTAGAGAAAAGATTAAATGGACAAAACATTCATCTTAATCATAGATTATAAATATATAAGTTGTGACAAGTTGTCTTAAAGTTCTTCTATAAATAAAAAGTGTAAATTAATAATATAAAATATTTTTTAAAACATATTAATAATATAAAGTAATAAAAATAATAATATGATTTTTTATAAAAATATTTAATATCATTATAAGAAATTTTATTAGAAAAAATATTAATATGATGTGACATCTTTTTAATCTTAGAATTTTGAGACATAAATTATAATAACTTGATTATCTTTTTAAAAAAAGATAAAATAAAATTGCTACAAAATAAAAAATTAACTTGAGGCAATCCAAAAATCTTAAATTTAATAAACGTAAAATTAATTAAAAATATTAACATGCAAATTTTTTTTTTTTGCAAAGGATTACATAATTTTAATTATTCAATATATTTAGTGATACGTAGGAGTAAAAGTCACTCTTATCGAAGAAAATAAATAATATTAACTCTCCTCATTTCATTATAATAATAACAATAATAAAATTTGGTATTCATTAAAATAAAATAAGCACACATATTAAACACATGAAAAAAATATTTATCATAATTAAATAATTTAGTATAAAATAAATATTATAAAAATTATAAATAATTTACTTAATTAATAAAAAAAATTATTTTTTAAACAAACGTAGTAAGACACGTAAATAACTTCCAAATCTAAAATTTAATTTTCGCAGACTATTTTTCATTTAAAAGTTTTTTTCTAAAATAAATATTAGTGACTACAACTTGATTCTTAATCTAGTTTTAGCATTATATTTTTGCAATATAAATGAGAAGTTGTGAGTGTTTGTAGTGTTTTTGGTGGCAAAGTGGGCACATTCCTTCTGAGTTCTGATGTCAATTGATGTATCCTTATTTTCTCATGCCCACTGTAAAGGACATATGGTTGCACAATGCACATTAGCTGCAACAGTTAAATTGTCTGGCCAAACAACTTGGCTCTCATGTTCAGTGTTCAACGCTTCCACTTCAAAAAGTCAATTTTTCCTTCCTTTTTTTTCTTACGTTTTCTTCAAAAAAAAAAAAAATAATACATTATTACTCTTTTTTTTTTTTTT